TCGAGTAGGCAAACAGGTTGTGTGTACAGTAATGGTAGTTTTGTTTTCTCTAGCTACGTTTCCTCCATATATACAGTATATATTTTCAACTATTCAAAATATTTGGCGACAGCGCAACAATGTCCTTCATAACTCCCAGAGGATTGTTCCTCATATCATTTTCAAGATCATTGACCGAGAGATTCGCAATATCATCTAGACTTCACAAGAGCAGTTGGCGAAACCTTGTGGTTCTTTGGATTCGGTAGTTCCTTTTCTTTCATTACGTCTTATTGTAGCATTGTTTTTCAATTTTTTTTTTTTGTCTTGACTACTTTTCTGTAAGCATTTCTCTTTGTAAAAGCCTCAATCTTCATTAATATGAAATTTATATCTTTAGAAAAAAAAAAAAACTATTCAAAATAATTTTTTTTAAAGGTTTTCAGCAAAACAAAAACCTTTCTTAAAAGTTTATTGCACTCTTTGTCAAGAAGAGTTCAGTTTGATATATAATTAATCATAATTTAATAAATTTGACGGTAATGACGATATATTAGATTGCATATTGAAATTGTGCAAGAATCATTTAGAAGAAATTGTGCAAGAAAAAAACATCTTTAAATAACTACATTCATGTATAAGAAAAACAAAAATCTTATCAATCTCTTAAATCTCTTACTAATAAAAGGAGATCATTGAAGCTTCTCAATGTGTCCACATCAGATTTTCTAAAAAACTCTCTCAAGATGCCACGTCAGTTTACTTTCCTTCAAATTATAAATCACTGCAACCACGTCACACTCTTTACAAGGACGATCAATATTCACCGCCCATTGGCCAACTAGATTAGCATCTTAGGTCGTCAACTTACGTGTCTCTTCACCTCTCCCTCATAACGGAACTGCCACGCTTCGCCTTCCTTTCTTCTAAATCCTCATATCGCTCCATATATATAATAGAGAAGGTTACGAAAAAACCTCAAACGTCAAACGTATCGTCCTCTGCAGCTGTGGAACGCTTTTCAAATCCTTCTCGGTTACAGAGATCGTTGAATATGAAGGTTTGTTTGCTCCAATTAAACATTCACTTTTTTTTAGAGAGATCATCAAATCCTCCATGATTAGATTTTACAACTAATGTAAGATTGTTCAGATTCAAAGGCTCATGCTCTTGAGATATATTAAAAGAAAGAAGAACTGTTGGTCTTTATTAAGTAGCAATCATTCGTATACTTCCTCTTCACTATTCTGTACTTTATTTTTCATTGCCTTTTTTGGATAACTTTGCTGCAATTGTTTGTCCCTGTAAATATATGAGTTTAGTGATAATCTTCCCCTCTGCAAACAGAACCATTGCCGACAAGGGAAGCGCCTATTCTGATGCAAGTTAAGTGTTGGTGGAGTAAAGAGACATGAAAAGCCTTTGGTGGAGTAAATCATATGATCTTCAAGGCTATTACTTTTAAATCGCGTTTAGAGTAAAGAATGTAATTACATTAGTTTATATCTTTGACTTTGATATTAATAGCCCATAGGGATTGTTAACTTCTATTCATGTTTCAGCAACAACAGAGAAGGGTGTGGAAGAGGCCACCCGGTGACCTGAAAAAGAATCAATAAACATACATACCTACGTGGTTAACAAGATAGTTGAATGCTAATTTCTTTACTATTCCAGTAACGTCTCTTTCTGTTTTGTTTTTAGGTAAATGGATCAAGTGGAGAAACCATTTCATGTACGTTTTTCTAAGAATACCCATTGTTGCCCTGTTTAACATTGGTATTGCATTTGGCCATCACGAAGGAATTGACCTGTTTAACATTGAGTGTGTCGTTTTGTGGTTATCGTTTTAAAATTATGCTCTATCTATGTAGAGTCATATTAGAATGTGAGTTATGTTTCATAGAGAATATACAGTCCATTGCTCTTAAGTTTTAACTTTGTAATGTCATGCCAAAAACATCAAATGTAATTTTGTCATAGAGATGGAACTTAGTAAATAATGTGTCCAATCATGGCTATTATTTTCCTACGTATACTTCGAAGCTCAATCGCTTTGATTTCTATGCTTCATATTGATACATGTTCAACTCCTACTTTGTAAAATTATTTTATAAATTACAATGAAAAAATTATGAATAGATATAATTGAACAATTAACAGTATCATATATGTTTCTTTACTAAAATAATAAATGCAGCATCACATGAAGTTTTGCAATGTATACTAACAAAAAAAAAAATATGTTATTAAACTTTAAATTATCAAATTTTAAATATACCCGGACGTAGCCCGGATTAGCCCCTAGTGATATACTAAAAATTACACACACTGAATATCCTTATTACACATTGCTCTTAAAAACTAGTGATATATATTTAATATTTAAGTATATAATACTTACAAAAAACCATATCAAACAACATTCAATTTTCTTTTTAAAAAATCATTTGTAAACAGTACATTTTTTTTTTTTGGATATATATATAGGAGTGGAAGGAGGAGATTGTTTGTCTGTCTGTGTCTTAGAAATATAAAAAAAGAATCTAAAAAAATTAAAGTGTCGGTGAATTCTCAATATTTGTCTTCTTCTTACGTCTTTTTAAAACCTCCTCCTTCCTCCTTCTTATGTAACCGTTTCGCCGTCAAGTTTCCAAATCTCTCTCTCTCTGCTCAAATTTCTCAATCTATGATTTTGTGATTTTTTACCCCGGCGGTTATGGAGACGGGAGCGGCGATGACAACGACTGTTACGGCGGCGACGATGGGGATTGGGACGAGGAAGAGAGATCTAAAACCGTACAAAGGAATAAGAATGAGAAAATGGGGAAAATGGGTGGCGGAGATTAGAGAACCGAACAAGAGGTCAAGGATCTGGTTAGGTTCTTATTCTACACCTGAAGCAGCGGCGAGAGCTTACGACACCGCTGTTTTTTACCTCCGTGGTCCTTCTGCTCGGCTTAATTTCCCGGAGCTTTTGGCTGGACTAACAGTTTCTAACGGCGGAGGAAGAGTTGGTGATTTATCGGCGGCGTATATAAGAAGAAAAGCGGCGGAGGTTGGTGCTCAGGTTGATGCTCTTGGAGCGACGGTGGTTGTGAATTCCGGCGAGAAGAGCGGTAACGGGTCGTTGGAACGGGTCGATTTGAATAAATTACCCGACCCGGAAAATTCGGATGATGATGATGACGAGTGGGTGAAGAGGAGATAGAAAAAAAAAAAAAGTAGTTGTAGAAGGCAACGAGAATGTTTGTCTTTACGATGCGCTATTATCGCTAACATGCGCTTTTCGTTTGAAGTGTTAAACATGCGCCTCCATTGTTTTGGGTTTTGTTTCTTCCTCGATAATCAAAGATTTTAAAACTCAAAACTCTCAAATTTGTCACTTACGACTACAAAAATAGATTTGCATGATCTTTTGTATTGACGAATAACGACGTATTATTTAAACTTTATGTCCTAATAACAACGTATTAATCGAATTTATGTTCTATTTTATCGATTACTTTTACCGTCTCACTTTCTTTTTAATTGACGTCAAAAATGTCAGAACAGTACAATTTTAAATGATGAGAGTATCATAGACCCATAGTAAAATCTACATAAGGCTATGGCTTATGAATGGTTTTGTAGTATGCTCTAGACCGGACTAAAATCGAACTAATCCGTACTTAAGTCACTATTCATCATTGCGAATTAAAATTCTCTATACTAATACGTATTTGAGCATAAAATTTGATACTAACATAAATTCACTGTTGGTCTGGTATTTTTTCATTCCACTCCTTATAAGCTTCATACTAATAGTAATAATATTAAAGTGTATACTATTGTCTTTTCGATACTATAGTCCGACGCTTTGCTTACTAAAATATTGATACGCATAGTCCGATCCGCAACGTATGAACCAACCATTCAAAGCCTTAATTTGTGTTCTTTACAAATATTTTACATACAAAGTGCATAATTTGAAATATTGAGCATAGTCGTCCACAAAATAATTGAGTCTGCTTTATCAGAAAGCTGAAGATGCAAAAGTATCTCAGTCCGTGAAAATAATTTTGATGTGTTTAAATTTTAAAAGTAGAGTTGCGAAAACACTTCTCTGTGGAAGTTGGTGTCCTACAACTAAAGCACTAAAATTATTGTAACCACTAAAAGTGATTTGATGGTTATTTTTTTTTTAGGAGTTTTTAATGTGGGGACAAAAATAATAATACAATTTGCTCATTCGGTTTTAGGGGCAGAGTTGGTCGGCAAGATTCTTCGGTGATTCTGATATTTGGTTAGTGTACACATTGGCCAATACCAAAACGTGAAAAGTGAGGAACCGTTTAGATAACGGGTGATATGTGAGTCTAAAGATTTGACGCAAAACTTGTGACCACAAAAGAGCAACACACAAAAGATTCGGACACGAGACAACAACTTTTTTTCAGACATGTTATGTGTGATTCCCCCAAGTTAACCCAAAAAAAAAAACGAGTTTGAAAAGTAATAACTGAATCTGAATGTGAAATTTCGGTTTATGGGTTTTCTTGAATCCATACATATTTTCAAACATTTTCGTATGCCTCATGATGAGCCTTTGACGTTGATATTACTTTCTTTCTCGTTTTTGCTACATAACCGAATTTTCTGCCAAAATTCGCAAATAACGCGATGGTAAAACGGTAAGTAAGCAGTGTATTTTTGGCGTGTGGTTTAAACAAATAACATAATATCATATAAAACTGTGTGTAACCAAAGGTGACATTTTTTACCATATGCATAAATTCCTATTTTTTTTTTTTTTAAAGAAATATACTCATACATTTCATTTTATTAGATGTTTTGTAGGTTTTTATGTAAACTTTAAGTGCATTTAATATTTTGTAGTTATTTATATTATGTAGTAATTTTTTATGATTAGTTGAATTGTTTTAAATATAAATATTAAATGATATATTTTATAAAAAAAATGCGCGTTTTTATCCAATACATCTTACAAAAATAAACGGAGTAAAATAAATAAACTAACTTATTTCCAATTCTGCCATCTTTTTTTTCTCAAATAAAATGGTAAAACTTTAACTACATTTAATGCAAAATATAACCTTTTTTCCTTGTAAGAAAAATGAATGAAACAGTAAAAGATTAATGCAAATGGTAGCTGAACAATATTTAGCTTAAGCTTACTATTAGTGCCCATTGTTACCGACAAATTCAGCAGCAAGACATATAAAGATATTTTGGTTGAACCAAAGCAAGAAGTACCGTAAAAGAGAGTACTTTGGTGGATAAACAAACCAAAGAAAGAGAAAAACTTTTTTTTTTTTTGTTAATGAATCTGATAACCTAAACCCATCAACAAAAGCAGCAGCTGATTCTGCAGAAAGACAGAGAGATTTGCACTTGCATAGTTTTTACTAAAGGAAATCCTCGCGACAATTATGCGGAGAAAGAGAAACTAAAAATGGCCTAGAAAAAGAGTAAAACAATATCTTAGCAGGTCTTCTTGGTTGGTTCTTTCTTAGGAACTACTGGAGATGTGTGTCCTCAAATCTCTAACAACTTCCTCATTGTTCTTATTGACTAGCTTTTGCACTGCATTGAAAGTCATGAAAATGGTTCATCCTTAACTCAAGTAGATAGAAAAGTGATATGAGACCATCATAATATGTGAACAGAGGACAGATTTGTCCTCGAACTAACAAAACTCTTAACAGAAACACTCTTACAAAATAAAGAAACTAGATGAATTGTGGTGCTATATAAGGTTATAACTCTAGCATGATAGTCAATTAGATTAGACTGAAAACCATAACAAAAGCTTCAAGATTTTCAATCCATGCTATCACAGATCCATCACATGAGAACCGGATTAGTAAATGCCAATGACATCTAGTGAAAATATTATACAGAGCGCTCAAAGTTCATTTACTGTCTATGGCACAAACTTCCACTACCTATGGACAAAGCGAAAACGTACCATAAGATTTCAGGTGTGTGTCAAGAAGCTTCTGTTCTGTCGATTCATAACGAATCAGACAGACGATTTCCGTAACCCCACACAACCCAATGTGTTTAAAATAACTTTCTTGTTTGACTTCATTTCAACCAGCACAGATTGAATAGGCAAAACATCCAGTAATATAAAACAAGGAAACCAAAGCCATCAAAGTTATAATCTGAAATATCCGCATAAGCCTCATAAGTTAGTGATATAATAGAGACACAAATTGTTCGAAAAGCCACAAGCAGGAAAGTATTACTTGAGTATAGAAGTCCCTACAAAGCATTTTCCAGTCGCCTTTTATCGCCAGAAAGCCAATGATTCAGAGCTGCCGAAAAGGGAAAAAAGAGAAAACCTAATACAAAGCCAATGACAAACAATATGATGATTACTATAAGAAATGCATTCTGTTTAAAATATTAACAGATACAGAGAACTCTCAGTTCTTTCACTGCGTATTAACACAGCAAAAACATCCAGTGCCGATGAGAAAAGCAAAAACGCGCCATAAGATTTCATGTGCGTGTTAAGAAGCTTTTGTTTTTCATTTCAAAGTGAGCATACACTTTCATAACAAATGAGACAGAAGGTTTTCCGTAACTTACAAAAGCCAATCTCTTCATTTCTAAATCTTGTTTTCCAACAGCTTAGATCAAAGGCTTTAGAAATGAAGAGATCTAGTTATTTAAAACAAGGAAATCAAATCCAACAAAGTTATAATCTGAAACATCCTCATAAGCCTCATGGGGCGGTCATATAACTTTGAAAAGCCACAAGTATGAATTTATAACCTGAGTATAAAACTGCATACAAAGCAATTTCCAATTTGCCATTTATCACAAGAAAGCATGCGATCTAGAGCTGTTGAAAAGGGGGAAAAAGTGATCACTTAATAAAAGCAGCATCCTTAGAGAGATAACAAGCACACAACATGAGACATTCCTTAAAACTTGTTATGATCCCACAGTCCATACTCCACTTCTTGTCCTGCGGTTAACAGTCACGAAACCTCAAAAGTCAAAACTAATTCCAAGAAATCGAGAACTGGAATTCTCAATTGCAAGACTCAGCAGGCCACTATCATCACATTGCATTGCCTAGTGAATTTCCAATCAGAAAAGCTTACCGAAGATGAGTTCATCATAAACCAGAGATAATCTCATGAGACATTCCTTAAAACTGTTATGATCCCCACATTGAAGAAAAGAAAGACTAGTAAGATGGCTTATAAGCCAATGCGTAGAAGAGCTCACTCACTCTCAAAATCCAGCTTATAAGCCATCTTACTAGTCCTTCTTTTCTTCAATCTAAAAGATTCATCAAACCAACTTACAACTTTATACTCCACTCCACTTCTTGTCCTGCACAACAATCACCAATCCTTAAACTAACTGTCTACAACAATAGTTTGACACATTCTCAATTCCAAGAGTCAATAACCAGAAAAGTTACAAACTTTACAAACCAAATCAGATAACAATATCAACTACCATCAAATTCAACAGTTTTTGCATTGTAGACACAGTAACTTCGTGTAGGAGCTTACCGGAAATGAAATCGACGTAAACCGGCGACGGTAGCGGCGGAGCAAAGCAAAATGGGATGATGATTCATGATATAGGTAGGTCTCAAAAGTCACGAGAGGATCACGTGAGATATGGTGGACCAATCTTGAAAACAAATCGGACGGCTAATATTAAAGCAGACTAATTCTCTTATCTATCTCTAACCGTTAAAATATTTATTTTAACCTGGGACTAGGGTTTTCAGATTTAACTCTTTGTCGTGTAAGACTTGAGCAACTATATAATCTCAACTTTTCTCAATCACTATCCGCTGCGGTCTCGCCGTGCTGCCCACAACAATCTCCGACTTCGTCTTCCTCATCATCGTCGTCGTCGTCACCTAATTTATCTCTAATTTATCAAAAACAAAAACAAAAAAAAAACCTTACTTTCGTTTCTTCAAAAGAAAATGGCTCAGGTTCAAGCTCCTTCTTCACATTCTCCTCCTCCGGTTGTTAACGACGGGTCGGTGACGGCTTCTGCTACACTTGGAATCGGCGGCGGAGATGGAGTCAATCACGGTGCTCTTTGTTCTCTTTATGTTGGAGATCTGGATTTCAATGTTACCGATTCTCAGCTTTATGACTATTTCACCGAGGTTTGTCAGGTCGTATCTGTTCGTGTTTGTCGTGACGCTGCTACCAATACTTCTCTTGGTTATGGTTATGTCAACTACAGCAACACCGAAGATGGTTTGTGCCCTAAATTTTTCCCCTTTTTTTTGATTGACATTTTGGGTAAAGATCTGATTTTTCGATTTTGTAATCATTCCTTTGGCTAATTTGAGTGATGGGTATTGTTTAATTTGTTTCGATTGGACACTGATTAGGGAAATTTGTTATCTTTTGGGGTTTTTGTAATGATAGCGGAAAAGGCAATGCAGAAGTTGAACTATAGTACTCTCAATGGGAAGATGATTCGGATTACTTACTCGTCTCGTGACTCTTCTGCTCGTAGAAGTGGTGTTGGGAATTTGTTTGTAAAGGTATATTCTTTTGTTTGAATTCTCTTCTTTAGCAGGTTTGATTGTCTAATTATGTGTTTGTTTTCTATATGTGAAGAATTTGGATAAGTCAGTTGACAACAAAACTCTGCACGAGACGTTTTCCGGGTGTGGGACTATTGTGTCCTGTAAGGTTGCTGCTGATCATATGGGTCAGTCTAGAGGATATGGGTTTGTGCAGTTTGATACTGAGGATTCAGCTAAGAATGCTATTGAGAAGCTGAATGGCAAAGTGTTGAATGACAAACAGATTTTTGTTGGACCTTTTCTTCGTAAGGAGGAAAGAGAGTCTGCTGCTGATAAGATGAAGTTTACCAATGTTTATGTGAAGAATCTGTCGGAGGTGACTACTGATGATGAGTTGAAGACTACTTTTGGTCAGTATGGTAGTATTTCGAGCGCTGTGGTTATGAGGGACGGAGATGGGAAATCCAGGTGTTTTGGATTTGTCAACTTTGAGAATCCTGAAGATGCGGCTCGTGCTGTTGAAGCTCTCAACGGAAAGAAGTTTGATGATAAGGAGTGGTATGTTGGTAAAGCTCAGAAGAAATCTGAGAGGGAACTTGAGTTGAGCCGAAGATATGAACAAGGCTCAAGTGATGCAGGAAACAAGTTTGATGGGTTGAATTTATATGTTAAAAACCTTGATGATACCGTTACCGATGAGAAGTTGCGTGAGTTGTTTGCTGAATTTGGTACAATTACTTCTTGCAAGGTCAGCATTGTTTGTTTTCCTTATACATAATAACATGAGCAATGCAAATTTTTTCTCTTGATTGATTGGAAACTCTTACCTTTTAACAAACAGGTTATGCGTGACCCTAGTGGTACAAGCAAAGGATCAGGATTTGTTGCCTTCTCTGCTGCCAGTGAAGCTTCGAGAGTGGTAATTTAAATAATATTGTATCAAGACAATATTAAGTTTGTTTTAAGCCACTATTTTCTTTCTTGATTCATATTCTTTTGGGTATTCTGCAGCTGAATGAAATGAATGGTAAAATGGTTGGTGGCAAACCGTTGTATGTCGCTCTTGCACAGAGGAAAGAAGAAAGAAGGGCCAAGTTGCAGGTAGTACTTCCCACAATAGATAAACAACCCCCTACGGGCACTTATGTTTTCTTTGTCTCATGTCCTTATGTTTCTTTTTCAGGCTCAGTTTTCTCAAATGAGACCTGCTTTTATCCCTGGTGTGGGCCCTCGAATGCCAATATTTCCAGGTGGTGCTCCAGGTCTTGGACAACAGATCTTTTACGGTCAAGGGTCTCCACCAATCATCCCTCACCAGGTACCACTAGTTTTCTGAGCTGATCCGCTCTGTATCTGAGCTTGATCATGAACAAATTTATTGTGTTGGATGGAAGACTCTTTTAAAATTTTTAATCAATAAGCACTCATTTGATTCTACTTAAATCTGTGATGTAGCCTGGATTTGGTTATCAGCCTCAGCTGGTTCCTGGATTGAGACCATCCTTTTTCCCGATGATGCAGCCTGGTCAGCAAGGTCCACGACCAGGTGGCAGGCGGTCAGGCGATGGACCCATGCGCCATCAGCATCAGCAGCCAATGCCTTATATGCAGCCACAGGTTAGTAAAAAAAAATGTATTTCTTAAATCCTGGATCAAGATGAATCCTTAAGTCTTTGCTTTCTTCTCTCCTCTAGATGATGCCAAGAGGACGCGGGTACCGTTACCCTCCTGGTGGTAGAAACATGCCTGACGGTCCAATGCTAGGAGGCATGGTTCCAGTTGCTTATGACATGAATGGAATGCCTATTGCTCAGCCTATGTCTGCTGGTCAATTGGCTACTTCCCTTGCTAATGCTACACCTGCTCAACAGAGAACTGTAAGTCTCTCTCAATATATACATCGAGTTGCTGCGGTGTAGGAGAAAGAATAAGTTCACTTACATTCAATATGTTTGTTTTGGGGTTTGTGTAGCTTCTTGGTGAGAGTCTATACCCATTAGTGGACCAGATAGAGCATGAGAACGCTGCGAAAGTGACCGGTATGCTTCTGGAAATGGATCAGACCGAGGTTTTGCATCTGCTCGAGTCACCAGAGGCTCTAAATGCCAAAGTTTCAGAGGCATTGGATGTGTTGAGAAATGTGAACCAGCCATCAACACAGGTGAGTGAAGGCAACAAAAGTGGAAGCCCAAGTGATCTCATGGCTTCACTTTCCATTAATGATCACTTCTGAGAAGCTTTTGTTCGAGTTTTTTTTTACCTTTGACTCTCTCCTCTCTCTCTTTCTCTGATTGACAAATTTTTGCGGGAATCTATTTGCTGTTTTAGACTTTTTTGCTCGATATGATTGCTTCTGTTTTGACTTCTTACTTTTTTGGGTTGACTTAAAAAAGGATGGTTTTTTATTTTTATTTTGTTGGATTATTTTTTTACTATTGCAAATTTGCGATCAGTTAAAAATTAAAATACTTTTATTATTATTGATTTGAGTTTTTTAAGTTATTTGTTGGTTATTGTCAAGTTCGAGCAACAAGAGAGAAGGTGATTGAAGTAGGATATGTATAGTTTCATTAGCTAATCAATCCAATATTTAAGTTTCTGTGATTACCAGTTTTTCATAAATTAGGATATTCATAGTTTCATTAGCTAAGTAGGATATGTAAATTGCTTATTGTTATGTTTTGTCTCTAGGAGAAAACAAAAGCAAATCAAATGTTCAATTAGTTTTAATGAATTTTACAATTCATCATCATTCATCAATGACTCATAAAAATATACTATATATATAAAACCTAGAAAATGTAGTCTTGCAACAATTTTTTTTAGAATTTGGATTAGTAAATTACTACAAAACTTGTGTCAACGCTACAAATTTTTTATA